TGAAGTGGAAACGTCTAGGAGCAACAACAGCTCAGCCGCGAAGTGGTAGGCCACACAAGCTCACAGAACGGGACCGCCGAGTGCTGAAGCGCGTAGTGCGTAAAAATAGTCTGTCCTCAGTTGCAACACTCACTACCGAGTTCCAAACTTCCTCCGGAAGCAACGTCAGCTTCATGAAATGGGTTTCCATGGCCGAGCAGCTGCACACAAGCCTAAGATCACCATGCGCAATGCGAAGCTTCGGCTGGGGTGGTGTAAAGCTCGCCGCCATTGGACTCTGGAGCACTGGAAACGCGTTCAGTGGAGTGATGAATCACGCTTCACCATCTGGCAGTCCGACGGACAAATCTGGGTTTGGCGGATGCCAGGAGAACACTACCTGCCCCAATGCATAGTGCCAACTGTAAAGTTTGGTGAAGGAGTAATAATGGTCTGGTGCTGTTTTTCATGGTTCGGGAATCTTAACACTACAGCAAACAATGACATTCTAGACGATTCTGTGCTTCCAACTTTGTGGCAACAGTTTGGGGAAGGCCCTTTCCTGTTTCAGCATGACAATGCCCCTGTGCACAAAGCGAGGTCCATACAGAAATGTTTTGTCGAGATAGGTGTGGAAGAACTTGACTGGCCTGCACAGAGCCCTGACCTCAACCCCATCGAACACCTTTGGGATGAATTGGAACGCCGACTGCGAGCCGGGCCTAATCGCCCAACATCAGTGCCCGACCTCACTAATGCTCTTGTGGCTGAATGGAAGCAAGTCCCGACAGCAATGTTCCAGCATATAGTGGAAAGCCTTCCCAGAAGAGTGGAGGCTGATAGCAGCAAAGGGGGGACCAACTCCATATTAATGCCCATGATTTTGGAATGAGATATTCGACATCAGGTGTCCACATACTTCTGGTCGTCTAGTGTATCAGTACATACACTCTATCTAGGACTATTAAATACTAAAGTGCAAATTACAATACACAATATATAAAATGGCTGTGTCTCATTACAGTCCCCTTTGTGCAGTAAGGTGTTATTTTATTGTTTGTTTTTATCTGTTTTTATTGCTAGCTTGAGTTACCTGGGGTGGCAGAGTTTCATGTAGTCATGGCTCTTTTTAATACTGTGCGTTTCCCAGGCTCTGTTTTGGACCAGGGGACTATGAAGAGACCTCTGATTGCATGTCTTGTGTTGTACTGATGAGTGTCCGAACTGAGTGCCAACTGCTTGAACAGACACTTCGTTACCTTCAACACATCAATACCTCGCACAAAGACCAATAGTGATGCAGTCAATCTCTCCTCAGCTTTGAGCCAGGCGAGATTGACACATGTTACTGACACTTGCCCTCCGTGTACATCTAAATGCGATACGTGCTGCTTTGTTCTGATACGTGCTGCTTTGTTCTGGACCAACTGCAATTTACCTATGTCCCTCTTTGCAGTACATGACCACACAGCTGGGCAGTAGTCCATGTGTGACAAAACTACAGCCTGTAGGACCCGTCTGGTCGACTGAGATGTCAAGAAGGCAGAGCAACGCCCTGTTATGGACTACTGCTTCCCATTTTAATAACCATTGAGTCTATATGTTTTGACCATGACAGCTTGCTATCTAGGGTTACACTCAGCAGTTTAGTCTCTTCAACTTGCTCAATCGCCACATATTTCAATAATAGAGGTTTAGTGTTGAGCAGGTGATTCGTTTTTGAGATATTTAGCACTGATGGCTTTGCTTTGCTAAAGGGAGGAGTGTCCACAGATTCCCATTCATGCAATATCGTGATGTTTTCTTTGCCCTCCTCTCTACTAGGATGTACTGCTGTGTGTTTGACAGTCTCACACAGCGTCTCCAGCCAATCTCCCTCCAGGTCCTGGACAGCAACTTTGGTTAAGGTTTCATTTAGAGTCCCCCACTTCTCCTGCTCTCCTTTAATATCCTCTGTCAGAAGAGGAGTCGGTTCTTGCTGTGAAAAGTCTCCTCTGCTCTGCTTGGGGTTGCAGATCTGTCAGTTTCTTGCCTGGTTGGACAGGCTAACATAACGAAGGCACTGGGAATTTCTCATGAGCTTCATTCCCATGTACAGATAAATCGTTCACCTTCGGATGTCAGCCAGCAGGACCAGGTAAACATGGCCAGGGAACACTGCACAGGCCAGGAAGCGAACAGTGATTTTATTCAATGCTTCTGACATTCAATTTGATTAGTGTACCATAGTTTGTAGTCTGTCTTTGTCTGCGTGTATGCTATGTGTCTGTGTGCACGTCTGTGTGCAGTATTATGCTTGTTTGTCAATGAGTCAGCTTATGATGAGTGAGTATGGTTTGTGCTCTATGGTTCCTGTATTAATAATACCACAGCACAGCAGTCTCATAAAAGCCTCCTCCAGCTCCCTTTCTCTGCTTTAAATGCCTGTCTCAGTCAGACGGTTCCTGGAAAGCGCTGAGGGAGAGGTGTCTGGAGTTTGCAGGAAGCTGCTCTCTGCTCACTTCCTGTCATGGGGGTCTGTTAAACGTGCGGGCCAGGGTCTTTGTTTGCTGAGTATAGGCCTACGTGTTTATCAGGGGCAAAACACCATGAGTCATCCATGACCCACAGCCTTGAGAGAGAATGAAAGAGATGGAGGAAAGGGGAGACGGCTTCCTCCTTCCTAAGCGGAGCTGCAGGGGTGCACGTTGCTCTCCTCACACTTCCACACACAGATACGCTTACGCACATACATTTATACACACACGCCCCGCCCCTGCACTCTTGCATGTGCTCGTATGCGCTGGGCTCTGCGGCGACTGCAGTGTCCCGAATCATAAACGGCAGCATTCCTCTGTCTCAATGTAAACAGGCTTACGTGCTGCTGGTGAACCAGGGATAACTCCAAGGACATGCAGTAGAGCTTACACAGGCCAGCAGACAACAGGGTCTCCCTCACACGTTGCCTTCTTTCAGTCATTCAGCCTCACTGTAGTTTGGCGTCTTTATACTCTCAGTAGGGTTTGTTGTGACCTATTGGCCTAGGAAGTTCTGAACTACAGTAAATCATGGCACTAACCTGGATAGCTGCTACTAAGACATCAAGTCTTCCCTAAACTTGGCACTTGAAGAACATCACTTTTCCTCTTCTGTCAGATTACCGTGCGGTCCTGTTTGTAGATGATACTGAGGTCGGCTAAAGTAAACGGGATTGTGCCAGAATGACATATGAACATGTACACTGGGTCTGTTTTCTTACAGATAGCAGAGCACTGCTTGGTCTTATGACAATTCTTTATGCTCTGAATCAATGCTTCTGCCTTTTGATGTTGACAGGCTCGGCTCAAGGCATTACAGTACAGTGTTGTGGAAAGATGAAGTAGAACGATGCTGTATGAAATGTTAGCCCAGACTTTGCTCCTCTGACCTTGTGGTCTTTTTGTCTGAATAATGACGGCTCTTTTAAATGTTCCCATTTTTCTGCCGTTGCACTTCCACTCCTGGAGTTATTTTGAGAGTTTTCACTGGGTTCTTTGAACCTCTGTGACCTGCGGCATTGTCAAGGATGCCGGTAAACAAAGCTTTCGTGGCGCTCCAAACTGGAGCATTCAACCACAACCCAAATAACTGAAAACGAACTGCAAGGGGAAAACAAGAACGTATATAGCTCGGTCCATGGGGGGCCAGGCTTTCATGTTTAGCTGAAGTCCGTGTGTTTTGCATTTGCTCCTTTCTGTACATTCCTCAGTTTTTTGTGAGGGATGAGGGAATGGGGGAGTTATCCATGAAAAGGCCCCCTCTCCACTATTGGCAAGTCCAGCATTCCTGTCACAATCCCTTCACCCCCCTCTCCTGCCAAAATGAGAGGCTCTGATTGCATGTGTGTGAGGTTGTGTGCGTCTTTGTGAAAATGCAAAGTTTGTCTAATGCGTGCATGGTTATGAAGTGTTTGTTCGTATGTGTATGAAAGATGGGTTGTGAATGCAGATGTGTTTAGGGTTGTGTGTGTGTGTGCGTGTGTATGTGCATGTGTTTGATTTATTACGTTCCCTGCCCTTGGGGTCCCTGTGAGGGTTATGAGACACAGCACCAGATCAGGATAAGCTCTGCTGTTTTGACATGGACTTAAATCAAGTTTCCGGCGGCCATTCTCATTTTCCCAGTTGAACAAATGAATCCCAACAAAGCTCATGGAGATAACTACCAATTTCCTGTGTGTGGAGATCTTTTGGGTCCGAATTGGGTGCTTTTCAGATTTTCTCCTTTTCCCATCCACTCTCTATGTTCTCAATATGAGCCATTCTATTTGGGCCTTTAAGTCCCCAGCTCTACTGGATGTATTGTTCTATCTGCCGGAATGCCATACTTATCTCTAAAGCTCCATTGAATACAACTTATTTTATTTCAAACAGACCCCAGTACAGATGCATTCTGTGAGTGGTGTAAAAATGATGGGAGAAATAATAGTCAGCTGCGCTCTAGCTGTTTCAAAAATCAAATGTCTGTTTTTTTGGACTCACCATGGTGCTTGACTAATGGATGTTTCATTTTATAGCCAAGACAATTTGTGATTTTATGCAACATCCCATGGTTTTATTGAATACTTTTGTAGATGTTGATCCCGGAAACTCTGGGATGTCATCTGGAGCAGGAATGCAAAACATGAAATGACCAATAAATAGAGAAATTGGAACATTCTGACAATTGTCAGGATTATATAAGTCTATTGGAAGCATATGTCCCAACGCTGCAGTGGCCTTAATAGGGAAAGTATGGCTGGTGCCAGCCCTGAAGATTAAATTACTCAAATTATTATTGTAATTTTTGCAAACAACTACAGTATTAGATTTTGCTCGTACGTAATGTTTTTTGGAGAGGTGTACTGCCCAGACCTTCTTAACCCATAGAGATATTACAGGTACACTGCCCAGACCGTTTTGACCCATAGAGATATAACAGGTTTACTTGGTGGCCTGACCTGCTGCTGTAATATTGTCATGCTGTGTTTTAACCTAACCACTCCCTTGTTGTGTGACCCACAGGACTGCTCCAGCTCTGAAGAGTACACGGTCGCCTCCGCCCTGCTGCCCCTGACGACGGCCTTTTACCGGGTGAGTGACTGACTGACTGGGAGATTCCACTCCACAGAGGTCTTCTCCTCTCACACAGAGAGAGCGGATAGAGAGTCAGGCAGCAGGTCCTTTTGATTATATTGCTCAATCAAGGGCAGGACGGCCTGGCATTCACCACAAGCTGGCCGTCTTAATGGATTGTATTTTTAACAGGGGGTTGGCAATAATAGAAAAAGGATGGGGTGTGATATTCCAGCTGTCCTGGCACTGGTCCTGTTCTGATGGTTGCCACTGGTGCATGCAGCATGCTCTAACCTCATGTCAGGAGATGTGTTCCAGGCAGGACAAGAGACTTCCCAGGCCTCCGACCATACAGCTCTGACCACCAGCCTCAGTTGGGACATGGGAGGGGGACAGGGGAGTGTCCCGTTTGTTCTCAGACTAGCCACATTAGGGTAAAGGGGGTGAGAACTGTACCTCACACCAAAGCCCAGTGGGCTGCTGTGGTTTGTGGTTGCCAATCCGCTGTGATCAAACTCGGTTGCTGCAGCGCGCACCACAAATATGTCCCCACAGCTCTGCTGTTTCCACGGCGACAGACAACTGTGGGTTGTTGCCCTGCATTGGGTACAGACCCTAAGAGACTGAATTTGGACCTCGCCCACTCTCTGCCATTGTATGACTCGCCCTGTTCTCACAGGACAGGCTGATGTAACGCTCCGAGATAAGCCTGCTCTCTCTGTTTCCCAGCCAGGTTAACCATTCTATCAGACCACAGTGGCATTGGAAATGTAGTCAGATAGTAAATTATCTAAATAAAACCAAGGGAATTGTCTCTGTTTGTTGATACAGGTGTGCTGTGTGACCTGCTATGTAATGGTGGTGAGAGCAGAGCATATTTTTTTTTAACATACTCTTCTGTCTCTGTACACAAACAGAGTAAAGTGGTCACAGACCCCACTACAGCACATTGTTGATAGTTTGGTTTGTTGCTATAACGGAGTAACAGTGTCTCTCTGTGACCGTCAAGTTGTCAACACAACCCTGTGACCCTAGGCTCCAGCTTTCTACCTCTTCATTAAGACATCTGAAAGCCATTGCCCAAACTCATTGGATTTCCTGTAGTTTTTTTTTCTGTCTTCCCATTTTACGTAACCATACAATCTGATTAAAGGATTACATTAAAGGACCTTAATTACCAGGTTTTCAGAAAGAAACACGAATCCTGAGAGGCATCTCTTCGATTCTCGACGGAGCAGTGTCTGGCACAGGGGAGGAATGAGAAGGAATGATATCGTGAGATCCTGAACGCAACAGATTTTTCCCAGCTTTCCAAAGAAATGGCATTAACTGTAGAGTCCAGCGTGTGGTCAGGCAAATTGTGAAAAGCAAGAGCGCAGGAATCCGCCACGGTCCTATTGTGGAATCTCTTGTTTGATGAAAAACGCTATGAAAAAGCTGGAAAAACAACGTATCCCAAAAAAACTGAGCACCTTAAGATGGTTCACAACGTTCCACAGAGGTTCTCGGGATAATCGCAGAATCGCACGATAGTCAATTACATACTTCTGCAAAATGTCTGTTGGCCTGCTTTACTCTACCCCCCATCCTGCCACATTTCCCCATAGTCTTTGACTTTACCACACTGACTGTTATGAGGCTGTTCAAAGCATGCCTGGCAGCAGATGAAGGAGCCAGTGGTTTGGTGAGTGTTTGGTTTATCCCACGCTATAGTAGAGGACCATGACAGTCTACTGTAGGACACTGCTGAGAGAACCATTGGTAGAATCATTGGTTGGGAGGAAGGGGACCAGAAGGAGTGTCTTCTCTCTGTATCCAGGTGACAATCGTGACAAAAAGGTGACAAAATAGCAGATGAAATGTGCAATAATTTTTCAGTTGTGCATGTGTTTTGTTACGAAGCCAAAAATAGACAATTTCATCCAGAACCGTTTGTTGCTTTGCCATGGAATGATTTTGACACGGGTCTTATGGTCAAGATTATTTGCATACCTTTTCATGGAAGATTAACTCTGATTTAGGAAAACAACACGTCTCGGGTACATGTTGCACATCTGTGTCCAAGTACTCCTAACCTCCTAGCTTCAGTACTAAACTGCTAAGCCCTCCAAACACAGCCTTACTACAACAGCACACTGGCCTCAAGTCAAGACAACCTGCTGTCGGTGGATCCCATTTAGATTTCCTAGAAGGTGAAGCTGATCTGTTAGGTGTTTACCTGTGGGTCACGCCAGCGGAGGAGAACCTGTAATAAAATGGTAGTTCAAACTGGGCCAGAGGTATCCCCAGAAAGGCATTTGGGCAGTAGGATGAAAGACTTCCACACACACACAACCTGTCTGTAATCTCCATAGAAAGACTTTGTTAATCAGTGCTCAAGTGGCTTTGAGTGATTAGGTTACTCTTTTACACATTTTGCATAACCATAGTAACCCTGGCTTGCCTCGAGAATTTGCTGCATAGTTTCATTATGAACATGTTCTTATTTTTGAGTTTCTCATGTAGATTACTTTACAAGATCAGGCCTATTGCTTTCCTTGAAAAGTATAATGCCATCCGTGTAAATAGTGAACTGTACATAATATTCAGTCTTGCAGTGGCAAGGACAATACATGCCGTACGGTAGCACGTGCCATTGACAACATCCGCCTTGCTGGTTACTGTACGTTTTTTTTTACTCCAGCCAGTCCTCATGCTCAGCCCACAGGAGTATATATCACCTAATCGGGAAGTTTTACATCCCCTCCACCCTCAACTCCTCTCAACGAGGTCAGTTGGCTTAAGGCCCTTTCCTATTAAAACCACTGCGTCACCTGCACCTGTCATCCATCACTCCTCATTGACATCTTCCCCAGAGCCTCTCAGCCCCTCAACGTCTGCTGCCCGCAGTAACGACAATGAGAAGAGTGGATCAGGTCTGGAAGAAATTAGGTCAGGGCTTCACATTCTGGGTTTTATCACCACAATATGTAATGTGTTCAATCACCACAATGCCCTCATCTGAAGGCTGCCCACAGAAACACACTCTAAACTAAAATGACCCTTTTATAGTAAATCACCTGTCTTAAGGCGGAGTGAAAATTCATGAAAGCCCAAGTCAGGGATTTCTTATGAGGTTTTTCTCAACTTAATCTGATGAATGTATGGGGCTCCCGAGTGTCGCAGCGATCTAAGGCACTGCATCTCAGTGCTTGAAGCGTCACTACAGACCCCCTGGTTCGATTCCAGGCTGTATCACAATTCTAGGCCGTGATTGGGAGTCCCATAGGGCAGCGCACAATTGTCTGGGTTTGGCCGGTGTAGGCCGTCATTGTAAATAAGAATTTATTCTTAACTGACTTGCCTAGTTAAATAAAGGTAAAGGTAAAGTATTTTTTAAAATAAAATATAAATAATAAAAATAGATTGCCCGTTGCCCGAATGTAGATTGGTCAAGTGTCACGTTTGTGGTCAAGTGTCACGTTTGTGGTCAAGTGTCACAGTGGTCTCCTTTCTCTTAGCTTTAGTCTGGCTAGTCTGGACCCTCCCCAGTGGACTGTCTTCAGCCCACAGTGCTGCTGCCCAACCTCTCCTCACTACAGAATGTGGGAAGCTTCCCAGCAATGTGCCCGCTCACACTGAGTGTTTGTGCGAGAGACATTGTCTGTGTTTGGTTTGTGTTTTGGGCAAATGTTCATACTGAAGAGCCGCCTTTCATTGACCTATATTCTATATTCTGCCCCTTCCTTCACGCTGTCTGTCTGGTGTCTGGCAGGCTGCACAGTGAGGTCTGCTAAACTAAACCAATCTTGGAACAACATATGTTACTTACTTTAGAGGGCTTTGTGTCTGGTGTAGTCATCATAATACAGTCAACAGGTTGAACTGTGTTTGACAGGAGCTTTTGGGTTAAACTTGGTTGGCGTGCTCTCTCTTGGGCTCAGTAAGTAGTTTACTTAAACTGCATGCAACCTTTGTACAGGCCATATCTCAGTTAGCAGTGACAGGTTGTTGTATTGTTCTGTATAAATGTTTCTGTATTTCTCAGAAATATACTACTTCTGATGATAAACCCCATCTTACTACAAGCGTCAGCACTGTTTGGGTTGGTGTTATTGTACCCTTTAATAAACTCACATTTTTATTCATGTTTTTGTTGTTGCAATTGAATGTAGACCAAGAGTAGAGATCTGCCTACCTCTTGGCTCTATGAGTAAATTAATTCATTGGATGCGCCGCGGCAGCTGTCAAAACCAAAACATGATTCTGGACTCAACACAGAAAACCGCTGGACTGTTTGCATTCTTTCTGCCACCGTTTATGCGTGGAGGGTTTGGAAGGTTTTCCCTGTCAAGCTGTTTTACGTTTGGTCCTGGGGAGGACAGATGACTTACGGCGTGACCTTTGTGTCCCTGTGAGACGTCTAGAGCTGGACTCGTCTTTGTTTACGTTGTAGAACATTTATGTTCACAGTACATCCCGCATGTATACGTATGGCGTGATGGACTTGTTTGTTCCACGCTTTTCAACATGTTGTCTCCTCTGTTTGTTTGACTCAGTCATTTGTGTAAATACATTGTTTGGATGGAGACGTCTTCAGTGCTACAGGACGCAAATAACTCCAATGACACAATAGTGATTCATGGGGAATAAATCTAGAAAGATTGATTGGTCCTGTCGGGATATTTTCTTCCCCCAGAGTCTCTGTCACAAAGGACTATTTTTATACCCATGGACACCAAGTGATTTGCTCCAAAACAACCATAAACTATTTTGTTGCCCAATTCTGGTCACGGATCAAACACGTCTCTTTTCCTCCAGTGTCCAGATACATACAGGTCAACCAGCAGAGCTATGAGACATCGTACCTCCCTTTAGAGCTGATGAACACACCCTGAGCTGTCTCTCTGTATATGTCTCTGTCTCTCTCACTATCTATCTAGCTCTATGGGAAATACTATATTATTGAAGAGTTACCACCTTTTCCTTCAAAAGTCGTGTCATAAACCCTAACATCATCCTTCTGGGATCCCCTAGCCAGACCTTGAGCTCTTTTTCTGTCTCTCTCTCTCTCTCTCTCCCCCCCCCTCTCTCTCTCTCTCTCTCTCTCTCTCCCTGTCTCTCTCCCTGTCTGTCTGTCTCTCTCTGTCTGTCTCTCAATTCAATTTCAATTTCATTTTAAGGGCTTTATTGGCATGGGAAATGTATGTTAACATTGCCAAAGCAAGTGAAGTAGATAGTAAACAAAAGTGAAATAAACAATAAATATTAACAGTAAACATTACACTCAGAAGTTTCAAAAGAATAAAGACATTTCAAATGTCATATTATGTATATATACAGTGTTGTAACAATGTGCAAATAGTTAAAGTACAAATGGGAAAATAAATAAACATAAATATGGGTTGTATTTACAATGGTGTTTGTTCTTCACTGGTTGCCCTTTTCTTGTGGCAACAGGTCACAAATCTTGCAGCTGTGATGGCACACTGTGGTTTTTCACCCAGTAGATAAGGGTGTTTATCAAAATTGGGTTTGTTTTCGAATTCTTTGTGGATCGCTGTAATCTGAGGGAAATATGTGTCTCTAATATGGTCATACATTTGGCAGGAGGTTAGGAAGTGCAGCTCAGTTTCCACCTCATTTTGTGGGCAGTACATAATACCTACGGCGGCCTTTCTCAATAGCAAGGCTATGCTCACTGAGTCTGTACATAGTCAAAGCTTTCCTTAAGTTTGGGTCAGTCACAGTGGTCAGGTATTCTGCCTCTGTGTACTCTCTGTTTAGGGCCAAATAGCATTCTAGTTTGCTCTGTTTTTTTGTTTGTTCTTTCCAATGTGTCAAGTAATTCTCTTTGTTTTCTCATGATTTGGTTGGGTCTAATTGTGTTGTTGTTGTTGTTGTTGTCCTGGGGCTCTGTGGGGTCTGTTTGTGAACAGAGCCTCTCTCTCTGTCTGTCTCTCTCTCGCTCTCTCTCTCTCTGTTTGTCTCTCTCTGTCTCTGTCGGTCTGTCTGTCTGTCTGTCTGTCTGTCTGTCTGTCTGTCTGTCTGTCTCTGCCTTGTATTGCTTGTTTTCCTCTTTTCCAGCCCTGCATTCCTCTTCTGCATTTGGCAAGTGGACCGTTCATATGTGTCTCTGAGGGTCATCTACCTCCATCTGTCTTCTCTTGTCCCTGTGCTCTGTGTAGTAGGTTCTGACTGCAGCCTAGGCCCTGGCTCCCCTCTGCTATCAGAGTAGGGAGAGCCAACTGACCGCGGTCAACCTGACCTCCAGACAACTGAGCAGGCTGTGTTTAACACAGGAAGACACACACATCTCCACTCACACCATATGACATGAGAACATGATGACTAATATTGTAAATATTGTTTTCTGGTGCAGGTCCCAGAAGAACAACTGCATTAACATGTCTACTGTTCTTGTTTTTCTTATTGGTTACTGTTCCATGAATGGACACGGTTAATTCATTTCCATCCTTTAACACTGACCTCTGTGCATTTAGTCTAGACTCGTTAATCCACTCAGGTAATCTGTAAATCTATTAGCGCCACAGTTCTTCCTGAAAGCACTTGTGGCCGTGTCAGATTTGTCTCTGATCGACAGAGGGTTGTTAGCCCAGCTCCCTGTAAATGACTGAGTGCTAGCGGAGGACACGGTGTTCCTGGGAAGATGTAATGTGTATAAAACATTCCTGGGGGAATGAAACTATCCATACGAGCTTTGACATTGGCGTCATCCTCCTTACTTCCTTAACGATATAAAGCTGCACGCTGACGGACTGCGTACATTTGGAGGTGAATTATGTCTTTGTGACAGCAGTTTAGATAGGAGGCTTAGTAGTGGATTTATAATTTACATCAGAGGGATACGACGCAAGGTGCAGGGCTGTCCTGAGCAGGGAGGGAGGGAGGGAGCAGAGCAGACGGTCTACTGCTGCACTCCAACGGCCTTCAAACCTCTCTGGAGAGGAGAGATGATGAGATACACAGACCAACTTACACTAGAATCATTTCCAGCTCCAGTCTCACCTTTGAACTTCCTCACACTGCTCTCTCACTCCCCCAGGGCTCTGTGCTCGGACCCCTGCCCTCGGGTAAGCCTCAGCAGGGTGCCGGGACTGTAGCTATTTTAGTTATTATTAGTTCTGCAGCCTCTGGTAACTACAGTAGCCCCACTGCCGCTGGTCATTCAGGGAGAACCAAAGCAATAATGAACAGCGCTGTGTTGTATTGTGTCATGGGAGAAATCAGAAGCTAATCTAATAAGAGGCTTGAGCATCACTAAAGAAAGACGCATGGCCTTCAGACTCGGTCAGGGGGAAGAGATGAACATAGAGGTAGGGGGGTTGTAAGGATGTTAATTTACAAACAGTGTTGGCACTCTGTGTTCTTGGGTCCAGGACTAGTAGGTGCTATAGCTGTTGCCCAACATTCATGTGTTTATATCGGGGCATAGGAACAGTCTTCATGGCTTTAGCAGAGCTGCATGTTCTCTCTAGGTGCTGTGTGCAAACAGGTGCTTCAGTTCACTATTCATACTGTGGAAAAACTACAGGGCCCTGTTTTTAGTACTCATCCAGCGAGAGAGCGGGAGTCTAACGTTCTTGGTATGGTGTTGTAAGTGTTGAAAAACTTACGGCCAATGAGAAATGATTGATTGTGCTTGAAACCTTTGGCAGCTTTGGATTATTTTCCTATTTTCACCCAGGTTTTAATGGTCTTCTTTACAAGCTATGCTCACCACAGCCCAGTTAGTTTCACGAGTTGTGAGACGGTGAGCCCAAACTACTCTCTTGTATGTTAAGTCAAAAGCGGACACTCAGCACATCTGAACATTTGCCTGGTCAGAGCCTCAGTGTAAGCTGTTGAAAACATCTACTCCACAGCCTCTTGCAGTCAAAATATTCCCTTGTGTTTGCAGAAACTGCCGGCTGGGGTGAGCCAGTTTGCCTACACCTGTGTCCAGGACCATCCCATCTGGACCAATCAGCAGTTCTGGGAGGCCACGTTCTACAGCGAGGTCCAGAACCAGATCCGAGCCCTGTACCTCACCGCCCCTGAAGACAAACTAGGCATCACTGCCAGGCTAAAGGTAAGGGAATGAGAGGTTTCAGAGCCATATAATGGCCAGTTTTTCTATTCATTTTTTTAGCCCCATTTGCAGAATGACACTGAACCATATCTTTCTCCCCCCCCCCAGGAGCAGTGTCCCCTTCCCCCGGCGGCCCCCAGCGCCTCGGAGCGCACGGCAATGGACCTGGCGGCGGAGCAGCTGCGCGCCTGGCCCTGCCTCAGCAAGGAGAAGCAGCAGGAGCTGGTGAAGAATGAGGAGAGCACGGTGTTCAGCCAGGCCATACACTACGCCAGCCTCCTGGTCTACCTGCTGGTCCCGCTGGACACCAGCAAGAACAAGCTGCTCCGAGCCAACCCTGTCGCTGACTGGGAGAGCGGCAGCAACAGCATCGTCACCAACAGGCAAGCAGAGCAGCTGGTTGCACATCACTGCACCCCACTGATATGCAGTCAGTTCTATCTGACTCCTATCTATTCCCCACAGATATATCAACAGTTATTTTGGCACAGCACACAGAAGTGCATGGCCCCCTAGAGTGAAATGCACTTGATCAGAAAGAGAAAAAGAGCTCAAATGTGAGGTTGTTATCTTGGACGATAGCTCTCTTGCTTGGGGAGTTTTTTGTATGTTGTAATAAGGTGATGATAAGTGTGTGGGTGAACATGGTGTTACTCTCCGTCTACATGATCCACTCTCCTCTCCTCTAAAGCGGATCAGTGTCCAGCACCTCCTCGGCCATATCCTGCCCACTCCCACATCCATCCTATCACCTGCTGGAGTTACAGCCTCAGGTCTGCTAGGGTGGGTAACACACTCAGCCTGTCTGTAGGGGGGAGCGACCTCCACTCAACCAAAAGAACCAAAGATTGGGATTTCCAGTGCTCTGCACTAACAATAATGTAATGTGTACCAATTTTATAAAGTTCGCACACGTAGGGGGGCTGGCTTTTCTCAGAAATGGAGAAGGGTCTGCCAAGGCCATATCCTGAGTTTCTCACTTTCGCTTTCTGTATGCGCTGCTGCTACACAGTAGCCCCCTAGCTAGTCCCCTCTGAAGCCTATTACAGGAGATGTTAGGCCCTTTGAGTTGATTACATGAAGAATGTTCCAGACTACACCATAATGAATCCTTTAGTTCTTGTTTTGCCGCTAGTTTCATGAGTAGGGGGGGAAGGCGATGTCCTTAATGTGTTTAAGTGGTTGTTATTTTCTCTCTTTTGGTTCTTGCCCCAGACTTGTTTTGTTTCTCACAGAGAGACTTCTGGATCTCATCTGTGTGTTTGTAAACCCTGCGGAACATTACATCACCGTCTCATGTGAAACGTGTAGCGTGGCCAAGAGACCGCGTGAGCCGAGTGAGAGGTCATGGCATCACAGCTGACCTCTCGCCAGACTGCTGGTGTGCCATGCTCACAGACCTCAGACACACTATATCGTCATGTGCATCTCTGGGAAAACTTCAAGCATCCCTCTCTGCAGTCTGTGTTCTATTCTCATGCCATTAATGCAGACTAAAATCTGACTAAATGTGTGTTTGCAGTATTGCAGGCAGTGTGGCGGAGAGCTTTGACACAGAGAGTGGCTTTGAGGACTCTGAGAACAGCGACGTGGCCAACTCTGTGGTACGGTTCATCGCCCGCTTCATTGACAAGGTGTGCACAGAGAGTGGCGTCAGCCAAGACCACATCAAGAGTTTGCATAGCATGATCCCAGGTACCGTACGACTCCCAGTCAACCTCAATACTACCCAATACAATGTCAATTAAACCCCAATACAACCTCTATCCCGGAGCTCTGTAGCTAGCAAGCACTGTGACCTCTGACTTCAGTTGCAAACTCCCACTGTCCTCATTCTGTCAGCTTTATCAGTTAACCCTTTTATTTTATTTATTGTAAATAAGAATATTATGTTTTTAAACACTTCTACATTAATGTAGGGGGGGGGGTGATATTTGTGCATCTAACTTTCTCACTCATCATTATTCACTATTCATTCAGGATGATCCATAATCATGGTAGCATCCACATTACTGTAGAAGTGTTTACAACCATTATATTCTTATTTATAATAAAAGTGACTCCAAAATGACACACTACATTATTTACCATTTATATTGGGCACAAGATCATCTGAAACGCAACCAAGACAAACAGCAAATGCTTCCAACAAATTTGTAGAGTTACAAACTTGATTAAACAGTTCAACCGATATGGGTGAAAATACCCTCAAATGAAAGCTGACAGTCTGCACTTTAACCTCATAGTCATTGTATCATCCCAATACTTTTGTAGCTCACTGTAGGTGGTGGCCTTCAAATCTGTAAATATAGGCTTCTTTGGGTTGTAAGTAGGTGTGTACATGCATGTGTTTATGTTTACCTGGGTTGGTTAACTTATGTGTATGTGTTTTTGTGTGTGGATGACATCGTGCTAACTGGTTATGACATCTGACCCCAGGCATCGTGGCCATGCAGATGGAAACTCTGGAGGCAGTCCACAGGGAGAGCAGGAGGCTGCCGCCCATCCAGAAGGTAGGTGCTGCGCTGCACTGGGCCACCCATTCAGAAGGTAGATGCTTCCCTGCACTGGGCCACCCATTCAGAAGGTAGGTGCTGCGCTGCACTGGGCCACCCATTCAGAAGGTAGATGCTTCCCTGCACTGGGCCACCCATTCAGAAGGTAGGTGCTGCGCTGCACTGGGCCACCCATTCAGAAGGTAGGTGCTGCGCTGCACTGGGCCACCCATTCAGAAGGTAGGTGCTGCGCTGCACTGGGCCACCCATTCAGAAGGTAGGTGATGCCCTGCACTGGGCCACCCATTCAGATGGTAGATGCTGCCCTGCACTGGGCCACAGTTCTCTAAATGTCTGTCTGAATATAAATTGAGTTTATCAATCATGAATATTAGTACCATTTGAAACTCTGTAATTTGTCATCAAAATGTTATCAAAATCATTCTCATTAATGGAGTAATTTTGTTGTGCCTTTGAAGTAAACCTGTGTCCTTTGATAATGAAGTGGTGTTAGAACCCCTATTCTACTGGAAGTGGTGTTAGAACCCCTATTCTACTGGAAGTGGTGTTAGAACCCCTATTCTACTGGAAGTGGTGTTAGAACCCCTATTCTATTGGAAGTGGTGTTAGAACCCCTATTCTACTGGAAGTGGTGTTAGAACCCCTATTCTACTGGAAGTGGTGTTAGAACCCCTATTCTACTAGAAGTGGTGTTAGAACCCCTATTCTACTGGAAGTGGTGTTAGAACCCCTATTCTACTAGAAGTGGTGTTAGAACCCCTATTCTACTGGAAGTGGTGTTCTGTAGCTGAAGTGCCTATCATCCAGTAATGTTGCAGTCATCAGATTGTCATCACTCATCAACCATCAGACTGGGGTTTTTTACGGTGAAGCCAGTTTACAGTACTCCTGGATGATATTGTGCGCCTTATCACACTGCCAGCTCTTGATAAGGGCTCTCCCCCTAGTCGGCTCGTTCCCAGGACACTGCGGGCCCAGTCAGGTCCAGTGTAATTGATGTGTATGTTTGTCTGGCAGGGCCTTGTGTCTGACATTCATAGCTGAGACCACGTTGTGCACAGCTCTGCTGCCAGCAGCACATTAAATCATGTGAACTCTGTAAACAAGCACAGGAATGACCCTGGTGGGCCATCAGCACAGATATTTATGACTCGTGGAGTTGGAGCTGTCCTTGCCTGTATGTGGAACCTGCTACTGCTTTGGCCCAAGGTTCAGGGGGAGGAGGAGGTAGCGCTGTTGGGTCTGTCGGGATTAAACATTCAGTTAATGGAGCTGGTAGTAGTGGTGTACCTTGAGCACTCCAAGCTACAAGCAGTGAAAAGGGTCACTGTGATAAGTGGCTATCGCTGGCTCTGATATCTCTGGCGTAGGTGGGTGGGTTGTCTAGTGTGTGTGTTTAGGGGTGAATACTTTGTTAGAGTCCCAGCTGGCAGCCTCATTGGGGTGCTGGGGGACCGTTGGAGCCTTTAACACACTGGCCCCTGGCCCTGGGCCATCCAACACCAGTAGGACCATGTTCCTCCTCTTATCTTTTGGCTAGACTGGACCAGAACTCAACCGCACAGCCTTTGGACCGGCCTGACCTTAGCATGGATGTCCCTTCAGGTTCCATGTGTCATCATGGTGGAGCAGAGCTTTCCTCTGCAAGAGAGTAAACACAGAACTCACTGTGTGTGTGTAAAGGCTGTGCTCACAGTGATGCCATTCTGTTCCCCATAGAAGACATGAACACTGCACTGAACCATGCCCTTTTGACTAGAGGGCATTTACTGTATAGGCCCCCTCACACAGGGGTGCTCAACATGGCTACAGTTTGATGAGCTAGAGAGGCGGAGCAGTGTTAGACCAGCTGCTTTCAGACCTGGCTCTGCTGCGGAGCTGAAGAGAAACCAATTCCCAACACATTGGAATGGAGTTTGGATTTACAGGTTGCTACGAAGCACCTCAAAGCAAATGTTCAGCTGTTGTCAGTGCTCATTGATCAGGGGTTTGCTTTGGATCCTCCAGCATTTCTTGAAGAATATAAATCAATATATTGTGGTAGTGTGGTAGAAGGTCACTGAAAAGATGTTGCGCGGACTACACTCAATGCATATATAAAAATGAACTAAATTAATTATTGTAGTTGTAAAAAAATGTAAAGATTTGCATGTACCTAAGGACCAAATTATTGACTTGGAGTATTACTGATGATTAGTCTCCACGGAACACAAGCTTGTTTTTCTTGGTAAAGCATCAGTGACTGTAGCTAGCTGTGTTAAACGCTATATGATGCTGAGTGTGCTTGCGACACACTGTGTGTTGGTGATGTGTTGCTTTTATGACATGATAATGATGTGTGTGAGATACATTCATGTCTTCGATATGCTCAGTGGTTGTTTAGGTGCGACGTGTGTGTTGATATCTATCCTTATCTAATGCACTGATGTTGACATTAGGGCTGTCCCCGACCCCCCGCCACCCCCCCCCAAAAAAAACATATTGGTCGACCGAGAGTCATCTGTTCTTTCAACTAATCTATTGGTCTAAATTTTTTAACGTGTATTTTTCCATATATAGACACACCCTATGTGTTTGAATAAAATCAACTATATGTACTGAGCTTGTCTGATGCTTTAAGCCCACTGTTTGATTAAATGGGTAAGACACACAAATGACTCAAGAAGGGAGCCCGATGGCCACGCTGGGTTAAAATGAAATGACAGTGAGTGCCTGTGTGACTGGTGCACGTTGTCTATCTCCTCCCTGCTGCAGCGAACATACACAGCAAGTGTTTATCGCGCTGTCTGTACTGAAGCTGCAACATAATTACAGCCATTTTGTTTCTTACTTGTTTCTGACTCAATAGTTCTGTTACCGAAATACCTCATTTGTTTAGGAAAATCATTCCCTATTCCCTCAACCCTTGCTCTCTTTACGTGAAAAATGTATGCTTTTGACCAATAGGGCCTGACCTATAACCTATCATAATCTCATCAATAAATTGGTTATAACAAACTCTAAGCACCGTAACAGATGTGACAGCAAAATGGATGCGGAGGACGTGAAAAAGAAACTGCCAAATGTTTACTGGTTGCTCAGGAGGGAAAGGGGAAGTCAGATCTGTGGAAGACATTTGACTTAGTTGTAGAAACTACTGGAGATCAAGAGAAAGGAGGGTATAGGAGCAAGCGTTGCATGAGTATTGTGTGTGCCAAACAGTTAATGTTTTTTTCTGACCATTTGGAACAGTGTGAACAACACTAAATAAATAAGTGTACCATAGTCTGTTCTAACGAAGAATAAACATATATATACTCTATAAAACCTTTATTACAGCAGAATAACAGTTATATGCATTCGTGAATTGCGGTAAAATTTTTGGCCTAATTATTGAAAGCTCCCGTTGTTATTTAATTTAAAAACTAAAATGGTTTAAAACCAAAAACCAGGGTATAGGAGCGAGAGCTGCGTGCTTATTATGTGTGACAAACAGGTGCTGTTAGATTACAATATAATTTTTCTGCCTGTTTGGATCAGTGTAAACAACACTAGATAAATTATAATTAATACCAGTCTGTTCTAACCCTGCCTTTATTACAGCATAGCTAGGATTAAAAACAGACGAACCTGTGAAATTGCTTTACCCGACATTTTGCCGTTGCATGAGGCTTGGTGCTCACGGAATCAGTAGGCTATTAAATAAACACTCAAACTGGCAACAGAAGCAAGGTCTGTCTTATTTCTTTGGAAATACATTACCGGTCAAAAGATTTAGAACACCTACTCATTCAAGGGTTTTTCTTTATTTTTTCTATTTTCTACATTGTAGAAGATAGCCCTATTTGGTAAAAGACCAAGTCCATATTATGGCAAGAACAACTCAAATAAGCAAAGAAAAATGACAGTCCATCATTACTTTAAGACATGAAGGTCAGTCATTACGGAACATTTCAAAAACTTTGAAAGTTTCTTTAAGTGCAGTCGCAAAAACCATCAAGCGCTATGATGAAACTGTCTCTCATGAGGACCGCCACAGGAATGGAAGACCCAGAGTTACCTCTGCTGCAGAGGATAAGTTCGTTAGAGTTACCAGCCTCAGAAATTGCAGGTCAAATAAATGCTTCACAGAGTTCAAGTAACAGACATCTCAACATCAACTGTTCAGAGGGGACTGTGTGAATCAGGCCTTCACGGTCGAATTGCTGCAAAGAAACCACTACTAAAGGACACCAATAAGAATAATAGACTTGCTTGGGCCAAAAAACACGAGCAATGGACATTAGACTGGTGTAAATAGTCCTTTGGTCTGGAGTCCAAGTTTGAGATTTTTGGTTCCAACCGCTGTCTTTGTGAGACACGGTGTGGGTGAACGGATGATCTCCGCATGTGTATTTCCCATCATAAAGCATGGAGGAGGAGGTGTTATGGTGTGGGGGTGCTTTGCTGGTGACACTGTCTGTGATTTATTTAGAATTCAAGGCACACTTAACCAGCATGGCTACCACAGCATTCTGCAGCGATACGCCATCCCATCTGGTTTGGACTTAGTGGGACTATCATTTGTTTTTCAACAGGACAATGACCCAACACACGTCCAGGCTGTGTAACGGCTATTTTACCAAGAAGGAGAGTGATGGAGTGCTGCATCATGTGACCTGGCCTCCACAATCCCCCGACCTCAACCAAATTGAGATGGTTTGGGATGAGTCGGACAGCAGAGTGGAGGAAAAGCAGCCAACAAGTGCTCAGCATATGCTGGAACTCCTTCAAGACTGTTGGAAAAGCATTCCAGGTGAAGCTGGTTGAGAGAATGCCAAGAGTGTGCAAAGCTGTCATCAAGGCAAAGGGTGGCTATTTGAAGAATGTCAAATATAAAATATATTTTGATTTGTTTAACACTTTTGGTTACTACATGATTCCATATGTGTTATTTCATAGTTTTGATGTCTTCACTATTATTCTACAATGTAGAAAATAGTAAAAATAAAGAAAAACCCTTGAATGAGTAGGTGTTCTAAAACTTTTGACCGGTAGTGTATATGGATGATTTATAAAGCCAGGCACATTTAAGAGTTAAGCTATTGATGATTATTGGGGCGGCAGGTAGCTTAGTGGTTAAGAGCGTTGTGCCAGTAACCGAAAGGCCGCTGCTTCTTATCCCCGAGCCGACTAGGTGAAAAATCTGTCGATGTGCCCTTGAGCAAGGCACTTAACTCTAATTGCTCCTGTAAGTCGCTCTGGATAAGAGCGTCTGCTAAATGACTCAAATGTAAATGTAAATGATTATGGACTTAATTAAGTTGGGGTTTCCTCTCTCCTCAATTTTCTTAGACAATTAGGCTAAGGCAAGGGCTGTTTCCTCTTCTCTGCTACTGCTGCCTCCGCCGCATTGTTCTCAATCCCAATATGCTGGTTAACTTTGCTATTATGCACATAGCAACATAGGGAAAGGCGCCAATTCTACGCCGCACTGAAGATTGTTTCAGAACTGCGGACAGCGACCGTATCCAATCCTGGAGAAAGCGAATTTGTTATAAAATAATATTCGATTTATTAGTGTTGCACTATTATTTTTACATAATATATCTATATACAATTTCAGCATCACATGTCTTAGAGTGATAGACGGTGCCATCCCCTTGGCCTCCGCAATGAATTAGTCCACTGAGACGGGCGCGAATCAGACAGGTGTCTTGTGCACCTTCAACATTTTTTTTATTAAATTGCGACTGCTCGATTAAAGAAATATTGGTCCACCAACAGCCTTTCAACCAGACAATCAACCAGTGGACTAAATGGGGTCAGCCCTAGTTGACATACTTAAGTACATGGTGTGTGTGCAGGTGTCTGTACATACAGTATGTTCTGTGTTCTGATGAAGTGTGTTTGACATGTGCATCCTCTGTCCCACCCAGCCTAAGATACTGCGCCCAGCGCTGCTCCCTGGTGAAGAGTTTGTATCGGAGGGTCTGAGGGTGGTCCTGGACCCTGATGGCAGAGAGGAGGCTACGGGGGGGCTGCTCGGGGGACCACACATCCTGCCAGCAGAGGGAGCCCTCTTCCTCACCTCCTACCGCATCATCTTCAAGGGCTCCCCACACGACCCACTAGGTAAATCATCCAGCTAGCATTTAATTATATCTGTCCCTGTTGAGAGAGTGCACTTTGGGATTCCCAATGTAGTTCACTATATAGGGTATCATTTTCAGATGAAGCCTGTTTGAATGTGTTGTGTGGATGAGGTACGTTAGCATAGAAGTGTATGTTGAGGTGTTGTCCTGTGTGTGGGAGCAGTGGGGGAGCAGGCAGTGATCAGGAGCTTCCCAGTGTCCACCTTGACCAAGGAGAAGAAGATTAGCATCCAGAACCAACTGCAGCAGAACATGCAGGAGGGACTGCAGCTCCGCTCGGCATCCTTCCAGGTAACACACACACACCTACTCCTGATGATGTGGATGATAATGAAGATGAAGGTACAAATTATGTGATGTTGATGCTACAGGCTTTTCCATTATTCATTTCATCGTGGAGGGGACTGTGGGACCGTTCGTACGTTAGTCACACGCGATATCTCAGACAGCACTGGGCCGATTTTGACTAAACTTGGGTGAATGATGCGTCTTGCCATAGAGACCCGGCATTTACAAAACTGATTGGCCCAAGGTGTGAGCTATAGTAATTAACTTAAATATGTTGGTCACACGTGGCACTGCTTCATTCATGGGCGACGACATGTTTACTGTTCCCTTGTCTCTCGTTTAAGTACACAAAGTCCTATTTCTTAGATGCTAAATAAATGCTAACATAGTTTGTCTAAGTATGTGAGTGTTCCCTCCTTTTGCCCCAAGCCAAGTATAAGATTGCTAGAACATGTATAACAGATTCACAGAGAACCCAGAATTACTGATCAGTTGTGACATTTGGAGAGATTAAAGGAATGAATATGCTCCAGACTCTTCCCTACATCCAGCCTGAATACATTTCTTGGACGTTATACGAGTAACCTATGTTGACTTTGATTTGAAGGAAAAAAAGGCAACCGTGCACATGTTTTTGGTCATTCACAATTCATGTAGTGCTGTAAAAATGTTATGGTTCATTCCTATCTTTTTAGTAACACGGACAATAAAACAGGCCTTTATGTGGGGAGGGGATCACTTGGCCTGGCTGGGCCTGTGTGTGCGAGCTAGAGTGTGTGCGAGCTAGAGTGTGTGCGAGCTAGAGTGTGTGCGAGCTAGAGTGTGTGTTTGTGTGTGAGCGAGCTAGAGTGTGTGTTTGTGTGTGAGCGAGCTAGAGTGTGTGTTTGTGTGTTGCTAAGCCTGGCCAGAGGGCTGTGTCTACGTCTGGGGTGCGTTATTAGGCCTTCATTGAGAGCTGCAGGCTGCTGGGGATCCACAGGAGAGCGGGGGTGGGGGGGGGGGGATGTTGGGGGAGGGATGGATGGGGAGTGGAGGGACTACCAGGTCAGGGCAGTCAATGAGAAGCGGACGTCACTCTGGAAAGACGTTCTGTGTGAAATATGTGAACATTCCGTACTTTCTGTTTCCGATTTGCAATTATTAGTATTTGCCTCCCTGCAAGAAAAAAATTAAACATGCGAAAATAAATGTGCAGAATTTTTGGCCTTCACAGATGTGCGTATCTGCAGAGCCATTTAGATTTATGAATGCATTATTATTTTCCAGCCATTCCATGGAAGGCCATTTGTTTAATCTGGAGGCAATGAGCTCACATGTTCCCTGATGCTTCCTGTGTCCTCTTCAGTTGATCAAAGTGGCATTTGATGAGGAGGTGAGCTCAGAGATGGTGGAGATCTTCAGGAAACACATCCAGAGAATCCGCTACCCTCAGTCCATCTTCAGCACATTCGCCTTCGCAGCGGGCCAGACCGCTCCCCAACTCATCCTTCCCAAACAGAAGGAGAGGAACACAGGTTTCAGGTCAGTCCCACCTCTCTCTACCTCTACCTCACTGTTCTACCTCAAAGTTGTTTTAGATGGCAAATCCCATTATGTGGTTGAAAGGTTCCTGTAATAACTCCCACAACCGACACCGCCTGAAAGTGTTGAGAAATCTTCCTTATCTGATGCTGGAATCAGACATGATAAATTATGTTATGGTCTCCTCATCCTCCTCCTAACAGGACACTGTCCAAGACCATTGTGAAAGGAGCCAAGAGAGCTGGGATGATCACCATGGGCCGTCAGAGTCAGACCACGCTGAAGAAGAACGACAGAGGGAGTCGGATGACCTGGCACGAGGATGATGACATCTCAGGTATGAGCAGACTGATGTTAAACTCCTACAAGGGAGAAGAGGAGGGGGAGTTTTGACAAGCTGGAGTTTCCTGACCAGTTACCTGACCTTGGCTCTCTCTCTCTCTCTCTCTCTCTCTCTCTCTCTCTCTCTCTCTCTCTCTCTCTCTGTCTCTCTCTCTCTCTGTCTCTCTCTCTCTCTGTCTGTCTGTCTGTCTGTCTGTCTGTCTGTCTGTCTGTCTGTCTGTCTGTCTGTCTCTCTGTTCCAGTGTCAGATGAGGGCGAGCCACCCCCCAGCAGCACGTTGAGGGCGTCGGAGAAGTCCACCATGGAGCAGCTGGTGGAGCGGGCGTGTTTCCGTGACTACCAGCGGCTGGGCCTGGGAACCATCACAGCCAGCTCCTCCCGCTCTAAGACCGGAGAGCAGTTCAGAGTCACTGCAGTCAACAGACTCTACTCCCTCTGCCACAGGTACAGATATTGGCGCTCTGATCAATGTAGAAGAGGTGTATTCAGTGTTCATGTATTGGTTGTATCAGATCAAACTGCCATCATAGGTGTCCCAATAGTGGTCTCCATCATAGGCTGATGGTGTGTGCACCCCACAGTTACCCAGGGCTCCTGGTGGTTCCCCAGTCGGTGCAGGACAGCAGCCTGCAGAAGGTGGCCCGTTGTTACAGACACAACCGCCTGCCAGTGGTGTGTTGGAAACACCCCCGCACCAAAGCTGTGCTGCTACGATCCGGAGGCATCCACGGCAAGAGTGTTGTGGGACTCTTTAAGTCCCAGAACCAATCTTCAACAGGTACAGTACAAACACACATGACTTACTTACACACACCTGTAGAAACCTTTTGATACCATTCTCGTAAGGCGTACACCGTACAGAATTTAAAGGACTTACATTAGATAGTCATGTTCTAAAATTGAAGACAGTTGATGTTGAATATGTCTAATGACTGGTCTCCTCTCCCTCTAGCCCCTGCCAACTCTTCAGAGTTGTCCAGTAGTCTGGAGCAGGAGAAGTATCTACAGGCCATCCTCAACTCCATCCCCGTCTACTTCAAACTGAACGGCAGTAACACTCTGTCCAACCGCTCTCTCATCGGCCTCTCACCAGGTACCCCCTGCTCTGGGCTCTGCTCTGGGCTCTGCTCTGGGCTCTGCTCTGGGCTCTGCTCTGGGCTCTGCTCTGGGCTCTGCTCTGGGCTCTGCTCTGGGCTCTGTCCTGCTCTAGACTGGTGGTGTTTTTCCCACTCTGTCACTATTGTTTTTGTGTGTTTGTCCTCGTTCCTTCAGTGTTATTCTGCTGATTATCTTAGTGAGGTTTCCTCTGGGCCGCTGCCTGTTATTTATGTTGTGTCCGTTGTGTTTGGAAGGAACTGTGGCACAATGTTATGGTTATGTAAGAGGAACAGGACACCCAGGGGTCACCATCCATCCATCTCCCCAGACTTCACCCGACCGCCAAGTGCCAGTCCAGAGAGCTGTGTGACCAGCACATACTCTACGCAAAGTCAGCGGGATTCTGTTTCCCATGTAACCGCAATAGATCTTTAGTCTCTGGGAACTGGGTCAAAACACACCCGGAATCAATGTCAATGGCATCCATCTCCATCTCCCAGCTTTAAGATCTACGTCTGCAGGGATCAAATAGTCTTAATGGGGGAAATAGGATTCCCAAGGCTTGATAGCTTCAGACTTTCTGATTATGTTCAGATAAGCTAATTGGAATTTAAGCAACGGGACACGATTGCCGAGTGTGAGCCCAAGGCTTAGGCCTAATTGAAACACAGCAATCAGTGTTTTCCCCCCTAAATGTAGGTAATGCAACTCTCTGTTAGCTCGTCTCATTTAACTCTTAAGTAATCCCTCCTTGCATTATCATTGAAAAATCTGGCCTAATCTCCCAGGTCTGTGTCCATTTTGTGTAAAATCTGAGACACACTGTGGGGTAGTTATGTTCTCAGATGCTGTGTCTGACAAATATAGATGGTTAGTCATCCAGGCATGGTTTTCATTCGCTATGCTCTCTGGGTGTGTGTTACTGTGTTTGTCCTGGTTACAGCTGAATGGTGGTGTTATCCCCGTTTCATGTCTGTGTGTACTCTTCAGGCAGTGAAAGGAGGACATCTAGAATACCAAAGATGGCCCCCGTCCATTTGGACATGCCCTTCTCCAACAGCTTTGCCAGAGGAGGTGAGTGCTGTACCCACGTGTCACTTCCTCAAAGTCCTATATATCACACTGCAACCGCAGTTCTGGAAATAAACTGGCCCCCTTTTGGTCTATGACTCAGCTATTTGTCATCTGTATTTGCCATTAATACACATGGTGATGGTCTGTGTGTTACATGATTATTAAGGCAGCAGATGTGCCCCACTAGAGCACTATGCTAGTAGGTCACAACTTCATACAAACAGGTTGACACATTTCAACTTCAACATTGTAAAAATCCTATAGGAGGAGCACGTGGAGTTCACTGGCGTTTTCTGACAGTTTACAGTAATGGTATGAAGTGGAATGACACGCTAGGCAAATTACTGTTCATGGCCCAGTTCAATACACTGAGCAGTTTCCATTTCAAATATAGCACAAGCTGTGACTCCAAAATCCATCTTTAAGAGCATCTTTAGTGTAATGTTAACAACGAGGTTGATCTGCTTATTCATTTAAACACATTAATCTGTTGATCATTACTCTTATTCAACATGGCCTATTTGTAGCTTGTCAAATAAATGTGACCTAGTAGTCTGGTATGACCAGTGAAGATGTCTCCATATCTGGAAGATGTCTGTCATTGGCATGCAGCTGTCTGCATCATGATTTGAGAGAAGTCTTCTCTGGAAGTTGAAGTGCATAAGTGTATTATTGGGTTAGTTGCCACAGTTCCTGTAATATTCAACCACAAGATTGCTACACCCAAAGATGACTTTCAATGTCATTCACAGCAGCATTAAGTGGATTTCGATTAGTCTTCTAAGAAATGTTCAAATATTTCCAATAACATGGGGCTTCTTTGGGATTTTGATAATCGTCTCTTCATTTTTACACAACATCATGGTCTGTACTATGTCATGCATGTTAACCCCCATTCTGTTCATCTCAAGACTGAATTACAAATGAATATTTTCCTTTGGTATTCATATCTTTCCACCACCCAACCCTGTTGGTCCTCTGTAGCTCAGCTGGTAGAGCACGGCGTTTGTAACGCCAAGGTAGTGGGTTCGATCCGTTGGGGTGTGTGCCGGTATGTTATGTCCATCTGATATTGTGATCTTTCTGTACCCCCCTCCACCTCACCCATAACCTGCCAGTGCTTGGGTACAGGGATAAGCTATTCACTCACTCAAACCAAAAACCTACCGCTAAGGGGAGAATCCAAAATCAAGGTATAGTGAAAATGTTTACTCTCTTCAGATCTCACCCCACCGTTCTTCCTCCACCCCTCTTTATTAACATCTTAATCTTATTTCCTGGTCATTGATCCTATCTAACCCACACTCATGCCTCTGTAACAGTTAGACATGTATCCTGTGTTCGGTGTGCTCATCTCTTTCGAGTAATAGGCAGTATCTCTGTGGAGATTCCTGGTATCACTCATGGCTTCCTCTTTTGGCGCGCTTGGGCAAGGCTGAGGTTCTCCTCTGCTGGAAAATAATCTGACTGTGGTCCACTTCAGGGTAAATGTAGTCCACTTGTCACTGAATGTGATGTCTCAGAAGTTGTGGATGTGGTCAGTCAGCAGTCTTGGCCCAATGGGAGGTACTGTGGGCTCAGCTCGGTCATGACAGGCAGCTCGGGAATGAGGCCTCCGTGGCCTAACCTCTGCATTGTATTCAATGTGTGTCTAGCCTTCTTAAGGCAAGATAGGATTTAGAATGTAAGGTACCTGCCTATTGGTTGATGGTTTGATTGGTTGAGAGCTCACTCTAAATTGTTGTAATTGATATCCGGCGGTTTAATTCGACAATGTACTCAATGCCAAAGCTGCTTAAACACTAAATGTGGTGTCCTTTCCCTTATCTACCAACAGCCTGGCTCAGACCGGGCCCCTGAGGGCAGTAACAGCAGCATAAGCAAAGCGGAGGAAGTATGGTTTATCACAAAAAGTTATTGCATATACAGATCTGTATTGTAGTTATCTTGGTGGTAGTGGTTTGTCAGAGAGAAATGAGCATCCCTCAGTTTCTTCCCCTTGGATTAGTGAATGAATAGATCTGTGCCCATAGATTTAGTGTCCAAATTCTATTTCTGTGTCTGCACCCTTCAATGTGTCAATGTGCTATAGTCTTTATGTCGCTATGTGCCATTCTGTCATCTGTTTCCCCAGTATGGTGGTCTAGGCTGTTAGTGCTTAACCAACCCCTCTCTGTGGTCATTCATTGTCATGCCAAACATAACAGAGGAGCACGAGTATTGGACCAGGCTAGCTAGCACCTTTTGTGTTCCAGCCCTCTACAGGCCTGCGGTGCCAACTCTAACTGTACCTCTCTCGCTGTGTTGTTGCAGGTGTCTGGGCCAGCCTGCGTTCCAGCAGCCGCTTCAGCCAGCACCCGTCTGCAGCCGATGTTGGCGCCAGGCTGGCAGGGAAGGATTTGGCGCCCCCTGCAGGCAGCGAGAGCCTGCATGCCCAGCTCCTCAAACAGCAGGCTGCCCTCTACATTTTTGGAGAGAAGTCCCACCTCAGGGTAAGACGAAAGTTATAAGAGTATTTGTCTATGGGAGGGCTGGTACATTTTTACAAGATACTGTGTAGGGGAATCAGGTCACTCCAGTCTAGAATGTGTAACCACTGTTTTGTTCCAGCAGACTGTACATTTCCAAACTGATAAGGGGACTTGATTGCAATTAATCAAAATTATGATTTATTATTAATACAGTCCCACATCTCTAATAATATTACATTTGGACTGCTGTTGGAACATTCTGCTCATTTCAGTCACTTGTTCAAGTAGAGCAGTGTGTCTGTGTGTGTTGAATGTGAAATTGATATTATTTTCATTGGCTAAAAGAGGTTATAAATAAATGTGAGCGTGGTGGAGTCGCCAGCTGTGTGGGTGGCTGTAATTGGCCAGTGGCCACATTGACAGAGACAGTCTTCTCTTAAATGAAACTTCTACTTCATTTCCTAACAGAAGGCCTATTTTTACCTCATACGTCCCAAGTATTTAAGATATTCCCTATCTGTGTCTTCTGTTTGAATTTTATTTATTTATTTGTCAGTCAGAGTTTTACGTGTCTTTTAATCAGTCTTTCAGAGTGTTATTTTAATGTCTGTGTCTACTAGTGATAGTTGACTCTCAGGGACTGTTAATTTTCAATGACATTTCTCCGCTTTTGTCAGGGCTTCAAACTGGACTCTACTCTGAACTGTGAACTGGTGCCTGTGGACTTTGCTGACACGCGGCAGATCAAAGGTGCCTTTAAGAAGCTGCTGAGGGCATGTGCTCCGAGCGCTACGTCTTCAGACACAGAGGACTCCTTCCTCAAAGCCCTGGAGGACTCTGAGTGGATCCTTCAAGTGAGCTCCCGTCATATACACAAATACATACTCACCAATATACATATAGTTGAAGTAGGAAGTTTACATACACTTACTTAGGTTGGAGTCATTAAAACTTGTTTTTCAACCACTCCACAAATGTCTTGTTAACAAACTATAGTTTTGGCAAGTCAATTAGGACATCTACTTTGTGCATGACACAAGTCATTTTTCCAACAATTGTTTACAGACAGATTATTTCACTTATAATTCACTGTATCACAATTCCAGTGGGTCAGAAGTTTACATACACTAAGTTGACTGTGCCTTTAAACAGCTTGGAAAATTCCAGAAAATGATGTCATGGCTTTAGAAGCTTGTGATAGGCTAATTGATATAATTTCAGTCAATTGGAGGTGTACCTGTGGATGTATTTCAAGGCCTACCTTCAAACTCAATGCCTCTTTGCTTGACATCATGGGAAAATCCAAAGAAATCAGCCTGAAGGTACCACGTTCATCTGTACAAACAATAGTACGCAAGTATAAACACCATGGGACCACGCAGTCGTCATACCGCTCAGGAAGGAGACGTGTTCTGTCTCCTAGAGATGAACGTACTTTGGTGCGAAAAGTGCAAATCAATCCCAGAACAACAGCAAAGGACCTTGTGAAGATGCTGGAGGAAACAGGTACAAAAGTATCGATATCCACAGTATAACGAGTCCTATATCGACATTAACCTGAAAGGCCGCTCAGCAAAGAAGAAGCAACAGCTCCAAAACCGCCATAAAAAAGCCAGACTACGGTTTGCAACTGCACATGGGGACCAAGAGGGTACTTTTTGGAGAAATGTCCTCTGGTCTGATGAAACAAAAATAGAACTGTTAGACCATAATGACCATCGTTATATTTGGAGGAAAAAGGGGGGGCTTGCAAGCCGAAGAACACCATCCCAACCGTGAAGCATGGGGGTGGCAGCATCATGCTGTGGGGGTGCTTTGCTGCAGGAGGGACTGGTGCACTTCACAAAATAGATGGCATCATGAGGAAGGAAAATTATGTGGATATATATTGAAGCAATAGCTCAAGACATCAGTCAGGAAGTTAAAGCTTGGTCGCAAATGGGTCTTCCAAATGGACAATGACCCCAAGCATACTTCCAAAGTTGTGGCAAAATGGCTTAAGGACGTCAAAGTCAAGGTATTGGAGTGGCCATCACAAATACCTGACCTCAATCCTATAGAACATTTGTGGGCAGAACTGAAAAAGCGTGTGCGAGCAAGGAAGCCTACAAACCTGACTCAGTTACACCAGCTCTGTCAGGAGGAATGGGCCAAAATTCACCCAACTTATTGTGGGAAGCTTGTGGAAGGCTACCCGAAACGTTTGACCCAAGTTAAACAATTTAAAGGCAATGCTACCAAATACTAATTGAGTGTATGTAAACTTATGACCCACTGGGAATGTGATGAAAGAAATAAAAGCTGAAATAAATCATTTTCTCTACTATTATTCTGACATTTCACATTCTTAAAATAAAGTGGTGATCCTAACTGACCTAAGACGGGGAATTTTACTAGTATTACATGTCAGGAATTGTGAAAAACTGAGTTTAAATGTATTTGCCTAAGGTGTATGTAAACTTCCGACTTCAACTGTACATACACACCCTCCTACGGTTTCCACAACAACAACTCACTGACCCTCGGTGAGAGATCTGTGAGAACGAACCAGCGACGTGCTCTCCATGATCTTGCTGTGTGACTCTGACCTCATCCTTTATTCTCTCCTCATCCTATAAGCTTCTTTCCCAAGGGAAATGATAACGATTCAAACAGACATGGGAGAACCACTAAATTGCTTATCATGGTAGTTATCATAGTGACAACCACAGCCTATGGCCCTGCATTAAATGTGTCATAAACAACAGAACAATATTATCTGGGAGAAGCCCTGCTCAGGCTCCACAGTCTTAACTCAGCACTCTTTTGAGTCTGTGGCCAGTAGACTAAAAATAACTATGAATCCACAGGAACAGCTTAACGGCATGAACTGACAGTGTATTATTGTGTGTGTATGTGTTCCCGGCAGCTTCACAAGCTCCTGCAGCTGGCCCTGATTCTGGTGGAGCTGCTGGACAGTGGCTCATCTGTCCTGCTGAGTCTGGAGGATGGCTGGGATATCACCACACAGGTGAGCCTCACGCACACACACACTGTCTCTACCCCAGCAGGAGTAGTGGAAGAAGGGGACTGGGGATGTAGGAGGGTAGGAGAGAGAGTGGGACTGGGAATGTAGGAGAGAGAGGGGGACTGGGGATGTAGGAGGGTAGGAGAGAGAGGGGGACTGGGGATGTAGGAGGGTAGGAGAGAGAGGGGGACTGGGGATGTAGGAGGGTAGGAGAGAGAGGGGGAAGAAAAGGAAAAGAGAGAGACATCTCGGCTGAAACTGACAAGTGAAACGTCTACACCAGGGGTGTCAAACATACAGCCCGCGGGCCAGGGTCCAATCCAGGCCGCGGGTGGTTTGAGTAAAACAAAAAAAGCCAGGCTGTAGGTACAGTGAGTGAAAAAAGTATTTCATCCCCTGCTGATTTTGTACGTTTGCCCACTGACAAAGAAATGATCAATCTATAATTTTAATGGTAGGTTTATTTGAAGTGAGAGACAGAATAACAACAAAATAATCAAAAAAAACGCATGTCAAAAATGTTATAAATTGATTTGCATTTTAATGAGGGAAATAAGTATTTGACCCCCTCTCAATCAGAAAGATTTCTGGCTCCCAGGTGTCTTTTTATACAGGTAACGAGCTGAGATTAGGAGCACACTCTTAAAGGGAGTGCTCCTAATCTCAGTTTGTTACCTGTATAAAAGACACCTGTCCACAGAAGCAATCAATCAATCAGATTCCAAACTCTCCACCATGGCCAAGACCAAAGAGCTCTCAAAGGATGTCAGGGACAAGATTGTAGACCTACACAAGGCTGGAATGGGCTACAAGACCATCGCCAAGCAGCTTGGTGAGAAGGTGACAACAGTTAGTGTGATTATTCGCAAATGGAAGAAACACAAAGTAACTGTCAATCTCCCTCTGCCTGGGGCTCCATGCAAGATCTCACCTGGTGGAGTTGCAATGATCATGAGAACGATGAGGAATCAGCCCAGAACTACACGGGAGGATCTTGTCAATGATCTCAAGGCAGCTGGGACCATAGTCACCAAGAAAACCATTGGTAACACACTACGCCGTGAAGGACTGAAATCCTGCAGCGCCCGCAAGGTCCCCCTGCTCAAGAAAGCACATATACAGTGGGGAGAACAAGTATTTGATACACTGCCGATTTTGCAGGTTTTCCTACTTACAAAGCATGTAGAGGTCTGTAATTTTTATCATAGGTACACTTCAACTGTGAGAGACAAAAATCCAGAAAATCACATTGTATGATTTTTAAGTAATTAATTTGCATTTTATTGCATAACATAAGTATTTGATACATCAGAAAAGCAGAACTTAATATTTGGTACAGAAACCTTTGCTTGCAATTACAGAGATCACACGTTTCCTGTAGGTCTTGACCAGGTTTGCACACACTGCAGCAAGGATTTTGGCCCACTCCTCCATACAGACATTTTCCAGATCCTTCAGGTTTCGGGGCTGTCGCTTGGCAATACGGACTTTCAGCTCTCTCCAAATATTTTCTATTGGGTTCAGGTCTGGAGACTGGCTAGGCCACTCCAGGACCTTGAGATGATTCTTACGGAGCCACTCCTTAGTTGCCCTGGCTGTGTGTTTCGGGTCATTGTCATGCTGGAAGACCCAGCCACGACCCATCTTCAATGCTCTTACTGAGGGAAGGAGGTTGTTGGCCAAGATCTCGCGATACATGGCCCCATCCATCCTCCCCTCAATACGGTGCAGTCGTCCTGTCCCCTTTGCAGAAAAGCATCCCCAAAGAATTATGTTTCCACCTCCATCCTTCACGGTTGGGATGGTGTTTTTGGGGTTGTACTCATCCTTCTTCTTCCTCCAAACACGGCGAGTGGAGTTTAGACCAAAAAGCTCTATTTTTGTCTCATCAGACCACATGACCTTCTCCCATTCCTCCTCTGGATCATCCAGATGGTCATTGGCAAACTTCAGATGGGCCTGGACATGCGCTGGCTTGAGCAGGGGGACCTTGCGTGCGCTGCAGGATTTTAATCCATGACGGCGTAGTGTGTTACTAATGGTTTTCTTTGAGACTGTGGTCCCAGCTCTCTTCAGGTCATTGACCAGGTCCTGCCGTGTAGTTCTGGGCTGATCCCTCACCTTCCTCATGATCATTGATGCCCCACGAGGTGAGATCTTGCATGGAGCCCCAGACCGAGGGTGATTGACCGTCATCTTGAACTTTTTCCATTTTTTAATAATTACGCCAACAGTTGTTACCTTCTCACCAAGCTGCTTGCCTATTGTCCTGTAGCCCATCCCAGCCTTGTGCAGGTCTACAATTGTATCCCTGATGTCCTTACACAGCTCTCTGGTCTTGGCCATTGTGGAGAGGTTGGAGTCTGTTTGATTGAGTGTGTGGACAGGTGTCTTTTATACAGGTAACGAGTTCAAACAGGTGCAGTTAATACAGGTAATGAGTGGAGAACAGGAGGGCTTCTTAAAGAAAAACTAACAGGTCTGTGAGAGCCGGAATTCTTACTGGTTGGTAGGTGATCAAATACTTATGTCATGCAATAAAATGCAAATTAATGTGATTTTCTGGATTTTTGTGAAATTCTGTCTCTCACAGTTGAAGTGTACCTATGAAAAAAATTACAGACCTCTACATGCTTTGTAAGTAGGAAAACCTGCAAATAGGCAGTGTATCATATACTTGTTCTCCCCACTGTACATGCCCGTCTGAAGTTTGCCAATGAATATATGAATGATTCAGTGGAGAACTGGGTGAAAGTGTTGTGGTCAGATGAGACCAAAATGGAGCTCTTTGGCATCAACTCAACTCGCCGTGTTTGGAGGAGGAGGAATGCTGCCTATGACCCCAAGAACACCATCCCCACCGTCAAACATGGAGGTGGAAACATTATGCTTTGGGGGTGTTTTTCTGCTAAGGGGACAGGACAACTTCACCGCATCAAAGGGACGATGGATGGGGCCATGTACCGTCAAATCTTGGGTGAGAGCCTCCTTCCCTCAGCTAGGGCATTGAAAATGGGTCGTGGATGGGTATTCCAGCATGACAATGATCCAAAACACACGGCCAAGGCAACAAAGGAGTGGCTCAAGAAGAAGCACATTAAGGTCCTGGAGTGGCCTAGCCAGTCTCCAGACCTTAATCCCATAGAAAATCTGTGGAGGGAGCTGAAGGTTTGAGTTGCCAAACATCAGCCTCGAAACCTTAATGACTTGGAGAAGATCTGCAAAGAGGAGTGGGACAAAATCCCTCCTGAGATGTGTGCAAACCTCGTGGCCAACTACAAGAAACGTCTGACCTCTGTGATTGCCAACAAGGGTTTTGCCACCAAGTACTAAGTCATGTTTTGCAGAGGGGTCAAATACTTATTTCCCTCATTAAAATGCAAATCAATTTATAACATTTTTTACATGCGTTTTTCTGGATAATTTTTGTTGTTATTCGGTCTCTCACTGTTCAAATAAACCTACCATTAAAATTATAGACCAATCATTTATTTGTCAGTGGGCAAACGTACAAAATCAGCAGGGGATCAAATACTTTTTCCCCTCACTGTAGATAAGGGAAAGGACACCACATTTAGTGCTTTGGCATTGAGTACATTGTCCAATTAAACTGCCGGATATCAATTACAACAATTTAGTGTATATGTATTGTTTGGAATGTGTTGAAACGATGCTGAGACTGTAGGGCCCTATGTCACTATGTACTGATTTCAATCCTGAAAGCACATGATTCTGGTTTTTAGGAGAGTAAAAACAAGCTTGTTTTTATCCTCATACATTTTCTGTTCCTGTTCGCTCTGCTGCAGCGCTCAGCGTTTTGTCACATTTTTGCACTGTGAGCTCACATTTTCCACGCCAACCTGTTAAGTGAGCGTGTGTTATTGGGGATGGCATTGTGTGTGTGCGCGTGGCCTCCAAATGTGTTTACTGGGCCCGTAAAGCCCAGGGCTGCCGTGTAAAAGCACAGGCGCAGCCTCGCTTCCCGTGCCAGGCACGTGTCAGGCCCAGAGCATCTTGCTCATCACGGTGGGGCCTGATCAGCCTTGCTCCAGGAGATGGGCTCCATATGCCTTGGCTCTTCAGTCTCCTGACCAACTCATAGACAGACACCCAGCAGAGGAGAAGCAGAACCCTGTGTTTCTCGCTCTCCCCTCCTCTTTCCTTTCTGATGGCCTCCTTCAGTGATGGTGCTGTGGTCATTTTGGAGCTCAGGTCTGTACTGGGGAGGACCGCTGGGCTGTGATGAAGAGGACTTTTCACCAACTCCAGAAAGCCCATAGCTTTTTGGGAGGATATTGTGGTGCACTAGAGAGGAACTGCACTCTGTTTCCTCCATTCAAATCAGCCATAGCCGGCCCCAATGCATATAGAGGGAGAGGATTCAAACCACAGACAGGAAAGGAAGTGTAACCACATACCAGGGAGAACAGACATGGTGTCCTGAGGTTACTGGTTTGGAAAACAGGGTCACTGGAGCCCTCTCCTGGTCACCTACCCCTCTGTCACAGAACTCTGAAGTCCTTGTCACGCCATCAACAGTTGGCAGCTTTCAGAGTTTTAAAGAACTTCTGATTGTTTTTTCTCTCACTCCCCCCCCTCTTCCCCCCCCCCCCCCCCCCCGTATCTCTCGTTCTCTCTCTCTCGGTGTCTTTCTCGCCGATGTTCTCTCTCTTTCTCCCTCTCCCTTTCTCTCTCCCTCCAGGTGGTGTCCCTGGTCCAGCTGCTGAGTGACCCGTTCTACCGGACCCTGGAGGGCTTCCAGGTGCTGCTGGAGAAGGAGTGGCTGTCCTTCGGCCACAAGTTCAGCCAGCGCTCCAACCTGACCCCCAGCAGCCAGGGCAGCGGCTTCACGCCCATCTTTCTGCAGTTCCTGGACTGCGTGCACCAGGCAAGCCTTGCACACCCTCCTCCGAGGCCCACACCCCTTTCACTATCCCCCGTCCGCACACCTCTTCACCCCCTCCCCTCCCTCCCACCATACCTCCTCCATGAGCTCATCACATTCCTTCAGCGAAGAGAAGAGGAGGAGAGAGACTCAGCTGTCATTATCTATGCACTCGGTTGAGTTTTGTACTCTGCAATCCCCCCCATCGGATAAGTAATTTAGACAGAGTTGTACGCTGGGGAGTTTCAGCTGCAGGGCTGTTGCCCAGATGGTCTGTGAACCCTACGGTCAGCGCTGTGCTTTCCGTGCTATTGTGTTTCACCATCCCCTCCGCATTTCCTCCTTCAGTGTTTAAAGCGCAGAGTGGAAAATTGCAGTTTTGGGGATTAAAAGTGTCTTTCCTCGGAAGGCGAGGTGGGGAGGTAGTGAGGTTGGGGGGGTGGGAGGTGCAGCTGAAGTGGTCTGGGTTTTACATGCTCAAATGCTAACTTTAGAGAACGTTGTGTTTTCTGTCTCCCCCAGGGTCCGGCAGTCCCACTCCCATACACTTACATCAACACATAGTTTAGGAGTTTGTCTTTTGAAATTGGAGGGGCGTCTGCCAAGGCGGCCTGACGGAGGCTCTCTGGGGCTCGAAGTGCGATAAACAGGGGGAGAGGGAATTTGATGAGTTTCAGAAAATAGAAGTTCCTCATCTCAGAAACAGCTGTTGTTTTCGCCAGTACGCCCAGGTGGCCCAAAACATGCAAAAGAGCGGCAAGGTCCTCTCGCTTGTCCGCTGCTGCACATTGCTGGACCGGGATACTGCCTTCTAGCTCTGCCCAGCTTTTGTCTGAGAATGATGATGTCAGTCACTGGCCTTTGCTCCCTGGTCTCCATTTGATTCTGCTGGTAATGGGGAGCGTATGTAGTCATAACGGACCCATCTGTAGTCATAACACAGGGCCATGCTCCAGCCATCACAATGTGTCACCTTCCCCTCTCTCTCGCTCTCTCTCCCTCCATCTCCTCTCATTGCAGATCCAGGACCAGTGCCCCTTGGAGTTTGAGTTTAATCAGCACTATCTGAAGTTCCTGGCATACCACTACATCTCCAACCGCTTCAAGAACTTCCTCCTGGACTCCGACTACGAACGCCTGGAGCATGGTCAGTATATTACAAATACAGTGTAAAGGGATGATTTAACAGTAAGGCCATTTAAGATCTGTACATGTATTAAAAGTATTTGGCAGAGTTGCCGGCTTCAACAAGCAGAGTGTTGAAACAACTGTTCTGTTTGTGAAATGATAGTGTTTAATGATAGTGTAATGGGTCAGGTATTTCAGGATACTGACATGTTGCAGTGAAGCACTTCTAAATTACCTAGATCTTATCTCTTATCTTAGATCAGGGATTTGTCAGCTAATAGTGGTAGTGTGTCTTAGCCTGTTGAACAACCTCTTCTTTGTCTGTCTCTTCAAAAGGCACATTGTTCGAGGACAAGCCGGGTGACAAGCAGGCCAGGAGGGGGGTCTGTATCTGGGAGTGTATCAGCAGAATGCACCGAAGGAGTCCGCTGTTCTTCAACTACCTGTACAGTCCCACAGAGGCTGAGGTGACTGCTTGTCTGTGCCGTCTTTGTTTGTGTGTCTTGTGTGTTGCAACTCCCCAAGCAGTTTGCTGCCATCTCGGATACATAGCAATGGTACTTCATTATTTTTGTGTATGTCAGCCAGATCCCCAATGGCCTTTTCTCTAGTTCACTCACTGACTCACATTTACTCACACCCAAGTTCTCCTGTTCTGGACATCCTCAGTAGAACATCCTCAGTAGAGATACAGGGATCTTCCCACTTCCCAGAGCAGCCAGTCCAGCTCCTAGAACTTCAGATGATCTCTCCCAGATAATCTCTCCCACTCTCTTGCACAAGATGATGCCTTATTGTGGTGACCTTCCAGTGTTCCTCTCCCAGTCCTTCTGAATGTTCTGTAGCAGACTGTTGATGTTGGTGACGACCGTGAGTAACAGGCCCAGGAGAGTCCAGCTGAACTCTGGACCAGTTCCTTATCAGTGTTGTTTGGGATCTTTAATAAGGATCGTACCCTTTTTTTAAAATTTTGCCTAAAATGACATACCCAAATCTAACTGCCTGTAGTGCAGGACCTGAAGCAAGGATATGCATATTCTTGGTACCATTTGAAAGGAAACACTTTGAAGTTTGTGGAAATGTGAAATTAATGTAGGAGAATATAACACGTTAGATCTGGTAAAAGATACGTTTTTTTGTTGCATCATCTTTGAAATGCAAGAGAAAGGGTAGACAGTGATGTGGGAATCTAGGTGTAATTTAGATTATGTCCACAAGATGGCAGCATTGTGTATACAAAGTTTCAGACTGATCCAGTGAAGAATGACATTACTATACAATATTTTGTATCAAGTCTGCCAGGAGTTTTCCCAAATTTTCTGAATTGGTCAATTTATAAATTTTCAAGTACATAACTATAGAGAAAATACAAAAATGGTATGGTAATACAAAAATTATGTTTACACACTCCCCGGAATGTCATGGATCATTAGCTTCCCTACAGAAAATACACTAACCTTCACACATCTAGATGGCCGTGTGGGGGGGGTTGGGGGTGGAGCCAGAGACAGCAGGGGGTCAAACTGTAGAACCGTTCCTACATTTGAATATAAAAATGGATTTTATCAAACAAAATGATGCTACATTTTATCTCTGAGACCCTCAGGATGACAAATCAGAGCAAGATTACTGAATGTAAGTACATTATTTACCTTCAGAGGTGAATGTATCAAACCAGTTGCAATGACAAAAGTGTTTTGTTGTTGTGCACTATCCTCAAACAATAGCATGGTATTTTTTTGCTGTAATAGCTACTGTAAAGTGGACACTGCAGTTAGAATAACAATAATTGAAGCTTTCTGCCCATATAAGACATGTCTTTGTCCCGGAAAGTTGGCGTTGTTTCTAGTCACATATCGCATATGGAGCAGCAACCGTCCCGGTATAGGGACACCGATCCCGTAGAGGTTAATATCTGTGGTCGTAAAGGAAGCATCTCGCTTAGCCTCTTCCAACTCCCTGACAGGGACTTTCTAATGTTGCTGTTTAACCCTCTCTTGACATACGTCTGGTCTTCAACTTCAAAGTCCATCCCAATGGGTTAGTAGTGTTCATGGGAACTGTAAATCCTCTTCCCACTGGCCAGCGATCGCGGCGGCTGTGCCCATTATTCCAGGGGCGTATAAATCAGAAGGAGGAGGTGAAGGAAAACAGCCCGCGTGTTTGTGCACCCCGGCTCCGACGTGATTAAGTGTTCAGTGGAGTGTTAGGTCCGGTGGGCCGCATTCTTTCCCACTGGCTGTATACAGTGGTGTGCTCACTGAGAGATTGGACAGATTCACATCATTGGGGAGAGAACTCTACTCTACAGACTTGATTTCAAACAAGCCAAAAGAGATATTTGTCTCATGTATTATCAATGTAAACTTATCAGATTATCATAAGTTATTCATTTGTTGTTGTTTCATATGTTATTTAGCCGGTGCTCAAGCCCTCTATTAGCATCCCTGCTTTGAGGAAGTGGGACTTCTTCACGGGGGAGACCCTGTGCACAGGCCCGTCCTATGACTGGAGGATGCTGGCTGTCAGGTCGGAGAGCATGGAGGAGACAGACACTATCGCCACCAGCAAGAGGAGGATCGTGTGGCCCTGCTACAGCAGTGTGGGGCGCGCCCAGCCTGACGCCATCACCAAGCTCCTGGCTGTGAGTTCTATAAATCTGAGTTGGGATGATGTTATCCATGCCTGACTGTGTGCCTGATACTGATGAGAACCCTATTGATGTTGCAGGACATAGAGTGGCTGGAGGGGGAGATGTGCCAAGCACCAGAGAGGTGGCAGGCCACTCTGGAGAGGGTCAGAGTCAGCATCCAGGAGGACCTCAAACAGGAGGGAAATGTAAGACAAAAGCAACACACCTTCCCATGTTTTCTCCTCTCCCCCTGACTCCTGTTTCCCATAAACCTTACTTAGCCTTAAGTCAGCTCTTGTTTACTGGAAGGTTCAGCAGGACAGCATTGCTTCACTCGTCAATCTGTTTGTGAGTCAAAACATCCTCCTGATGTTCTGTGTGCTTTCATGGCTTTTCTTATTCCATCTGTCTGTCTCTGTGTCTGATTTGCAGCTCCGCAAGCAGTCTGCGTCCATCTCGGGGCTGATCCCCACGTCCAGTCTGCAGGCATTCCAGAGACGCTCCATGCTGCACCTGCCTGACAGTGGCCTGGGGGAGGACAGCAGCCCCACCGCCACTAACGGGGTCAACCGCCGGGCCGCCACGCTCTACAACCAGTTCACCCCCAAGAACGAGGAAAACAGGTGGGTCTCCACTCCCAGCACTGATACAGCAAACGGGCCAGGGACTTCTAATTACTGCTGTTTCCTCACCCAACTCTCTGTAAAGCTTTGACAGATAGACAGAATGTCTCTACCAAGCAGAGGTTTTAAATTCATCTTAATGGTGTGTTTTTCAGATCCTTTGAGGGGATTCTGTACAAACGAGGAGCACTGCTGAAAGGATGGAAACCTCGCTGGTTTGTTTTGGACATTACAAAACACCAGGTGAGTATTACAGCATGTTGTATGTTGCTACCAGTCTGTTCCAGGTCATTTTTCCACTCCTATGCCAGTGGTGTTATGTGTGTGTGTGTGTGTTGTCCCAGCTAAGGTACTACGACACGGGGGAGGACACTAACTGCAGGGGCCAAATTGACCTGGCAGAGGTGGAGTCAGCTCTGATCACAACCCCCACCATAGGAGCTCCTAAACACATCAGTGAGAAGGCCTTCTTCGACGTGAGTCTCTCTGGTTCTCCATTCCTCTGTCTGCTTGTGATCTTATGTGTTCTGTGGTAGAATACACTCCAGCCATGGCAATATCAGGCTCTGTATGTCACATCCCATTTCTCCAGTCACTGTTTAACCATTGGTTGGGTGTTGTCATTCCAGCTGAAGACCACCAAGCGAGTGTACAACTTCTGCGCCTCGGATGCCCAGAGCGCCCATCAGTGGATGGACAAGATCCAGAGCTGCATCTCTGATGCATGACCTCTGAACTCCTCAGCCACGGCTCGGTCGGGGTGTGGTCAGATCACAGCATTAACACTAGGTGCAGCAACGTGGCTGAGAGCAGAGACTGTGGGCACATATATACAGTACATATTCAGCTCAGTCACCATGGGAGTGGCTTTACCATGAGGACCACAGTGACCTAAGTGCCTGTAGGGTGGAGGATATGTTATCATGTTATCTATCAATCCATCCTGCTGCCTTGCAGGACTTCAGGCAGTCATCACTCTCTGTCTGTCTGTCTGCCTGCCTGCCTGACAGCTTTAGTAGGAGTTGATGAATGTGTCCTGGTCTCTGCTGTCAGCTCTCTCTGTACTGTACCTTGTTACTGCTACAGGGATCAACACTTATAGTGAAAAATAAATGGCAAAAACTGATGCCTGAGCACTACTAAGGATAGTTTATGCCATTTCAGTTGTAAATAGATAAAAAGCAATAGCACTGGCCATTTTAAACTGTGGTTTCAATACATAAACTAAGATATATATATATATATATATATATATATATATATATATATATATATATATATAAAGCATACAAGATAATTTATATCAGATATTTTACAATGAGGAAAAGGTATTGCTGCTTGACGAAAGGTATAAACCACCAAAAACTCAGAGGTTTTAAAAATGCACAATATGACAAGGCAATTTGTTTGCACTTAGTTCTATAATATGCACTTCATATAGAATTATAGATTTTCTAACTGAAGCGAACAGCCAGGCAAAAAGCATGACTTTATAATGATTTACATAATTACCTTTTCCTTATCAAGACAAAATGGAAGAAAAAAACACACTAAAGTTCCAAAAATTTTCCTGACATATATTTAAGTAAGTGATGTCCTCTATTTTTTAAAATACACTATGAATGTTTTGACTCATGGATAACAGTTTGTTTGTTCTTGTGATGTAAATTATTTTTTTTATTAAAAGAGTAAATCATGTTGTTTAAAGTGTGGTGGCTTAACGTTTTATGTAAATACTCATGTGATATTTCAAATTTTATATATATAACATGTGTATGCTTTTCTAACCTTAACTGTAATAAGACCAACTTTACAATTCTGCATTTTTGTATGTATTGTCTTATATGTGCAAATATAGTAACCCTGTTTCCTATCTTTGATGAAACTGACCTGAGACATTGTGTGTTAGATGAAGGGGAGTCGACTATATTTCTCAGAATATCCAGAAAGGCTCCATGTCTTAAGGGCTTTTAAATAAATCAGTCGGACAGTGTGGTTTGTTTTTAAAGATATGTGTCTCATCTGTTGTCTGCATCTTCCAGTCTGAGAAAACAAAGCAAAAAAGAGCATCAAAGTCATTTCAGAAGCTATTTGAGAAGATATCTGTTACTGTATCTTTTGTACCATGTTTTGTATTGATACTAATGTTTTTTTTGGAAATAAATCAAGAGTACTTGAACTAGCCAGATGATTATTGCGTGATTATTTTACAGTACATATGACGGCGGCATATATTTGAGATTAAGAGAATTTACTAATTATGAATTATGTGGCTACTGACGAGTGCTTTTTTTTAATTTTACACTAATAGCCCTTTAGATGCCACCTACATCTAAAAGGGATGAGAGCATACTCTGGCGCCATAACAGTCTCTATTGTAGGTTGCAAAATACCTAATTTATTTGCAGATAATAGGTTACAAGATATAGGGAACAAACCTGAACCTAACCTAAGCCACTTGTAATAGGTTTGGCTTGTCATGAACACCTCTCCTCTTGTTAAAAATAGTCTCTCTTTTCTCAATGAAAGGTAAGCAGACACCACCGCAGCAGAATAGTTCATATGGCCCGAGCCAAAGCTGGGCTTGGCAAGGATTTTTCACTTCCAACAATGAGTAAGGAACTGGGCAAGAAACCCAACATAGAGCCACTGGCGCCTGCTTGGCGGGACTCGAAGGCACTCCTGGTCCTGGAGAGACCCGTCCCGCAGCAGGAAGGCGGGAAAGCCCTGAACTGAAGTTCTCTAGAAGACATTGGGGACGTGTTCCTGATCCTGAGCATTCTCTCCCAGCTGGCTTGTACTGCGAGCAGGTGCAGTGCTGGCTAACATCTGGACAGACTCTTCTCTGGCAGGTCTCTCCGTATTTAGCTGCCCCCTGGAGGAGGGGATTTACGCCTCCGCCCATGACGAGAGGGATGAGGCGGAAGTGGAGATCCGGCTGGATTTTCAGGAATGGAGCCGTTGGGACTCCTCAGTGCCTTAAGGAGAGTTAGTGGTTTAAGACTCACTCAACAGGACGACGAAGAGTCCATCATCACTTGTTCACCGCTGTGATTGTAGTTTAATAGACTGTACTATGACTATTTCACAAATAGATTGTCTGTGTTAGATGATGATTTACTATCTATTACATGATGATGAGCAGGACATGAGGCCTTGTTAATGTTACGCAATTCTCCAGGTGCAACAGTATACAGTGTATTCGGATAGTATTCAGACCCCTTCCCCCTTTCCACATTTTGTTACGTTAGACTTATTCTAAAATGGATTTTTTTTTAATCCTCATTGATCTACACACAATATCCCATAATGACAAAGTGAATACAGGTTATTAGACATTTTAGCAAATGTATAAAAAAAAAAAGATACCTTATTTACATAAGTATTCAGACCCTATGCTATGAGACTAGAAATTGAGCTAAGGTGCATCCTGTTTCCACTGATCATCCTTGAGATGTTTCTACAACTTGATTGGAGTCCACCTGTGGTAAATTCAATTGATCGTAAATTATTTGGAAAGGCACACACCTGTCTATATAAGGTCCCACAGTTGACAGTGCATGTCAGAGCAAAAACCAAGCCATGAGGTCAAAGGAATTGTCCGTAGAGCTCCAAGACAGGATTGTGTTGAGGCACAGATAGGTACCAAAAGATTTCTACAACATTGAAGGTCCCCAAGAACACAGTGGCCTCCCATCATTCTTAAACGGAAGAAGTCTGAGGTCCTGAGCGGTCTGGAGCAGGTTTTCATCAAGGATCTCTCTATAGTTTGCTCCGTTCATCTTTCCCTCGATCCTGACTAGTCTCCCAGTCCCTGCCGCTGAAAAACATCCCCACAGCATGATGCTGCCACCATCATGCTTCACCGTAGGGATGGTGGCAGGTTTCCTCCAGACGTGACGCTTGGCATTCAGGCCAATGAGTTCAATCTTGGTATCATCAGAACAGATATATTTTTTCATGGTCTGAGAGTCCTTAAGGTGCCTTTTGGCACACTCCAAGCGGGCTGTCATGTGCCTTTTACTGAGGAGTGGCTTCCGTCTGGCCACTCTACCATAAAGGCCTGATTGGTGGAGTGCTGCAGAGATGGTTGTCTTTCTGGAAGGTTCTCCCATCTCCACAGAGGAACTCTGGAGCTCTGTTAGAGTGACCATCGGGTTCTTGGTCACCTCCCTGACCAAGGCCCTACTCCCACGACTGCTCAGTTTGGCCAACTCTAGGAAAAACCTTGGTGGTACCAAACTTCTTCCATTTAAGAATGATGGAGGCCACTGTGTTCTTGGGGACCTTCAATGCTGCAGACATTTTTTGGTACCCTTCCCCAGATCTGTGCCTCGACACAATCCTGACTCGGAGCTCTAGGACAATTCCTTTGACCTCATTGCTTGGTTTTTGCTCTGACATGCACTGTCAACTGTGGGAACTTATATAGACAGGTGTGTGCCTTTCCAAATCATGTCCAATCAATTGAATTCACCACAGGTTGACCCCAATCAAGTTGTAGAAACATCCCAAGGATGATCAATGGAAACAGGATGCACCTGAGGTCAATTTTGAGTCTCATAGCAAAGGGTCTGAATACTTATGAAAATAAGGTATTTCTGTTTTTGCTTTGTCATTATGGGGTATTGTGTGTAGATTGAGGGGGGTGGGAACAATTTAATCCATTTTAGAATAAGGTGTGACATAACAAAATGTGGAAAATGTAAACGGGTCTGAATACTTTCCGAATGCACTGTAACTGCAAATGGTGCAAGGGAAATAAAACTATTATTTTTTGTGCTGCAACTGTTGAGCCAAACAGTGTTTCATTGTAAAGTATATAATACTGTAAGATATCATTATAGTTTTGTGCATTCTGAATGTTTTCCACATTAGCTCATAGTAATTAGTCCTGGTGGTTTAGGAGAATAATGCCTCGAATCAAAATGGAAATCAAAACCTACTGCAAATTCATGATTATCTGGTTAATTTGGATCATATCTAGTGTCATAGTTAGTTCTTGCTCCCATCCAAAGAATTGTATTCTAAATATAAGTTCTAATTGTAGGACTATGGACCTAAAATTAGTTAACTCCCTATCGAATGGCAGGCGATAAACACAAAACAAATGTTTTTTATTGGCCTCCCAAATCCCCAGGTTCCCATGGCTGTTTTTCGTTTACAGGGCACATCAGCAATGTGGGCTATGTCCAGTGTTGGGAAGCTACTCTGAGAATGTAGTTTACTTAACTAAAGTTACTTTGAAAAAGTAGTTCACTACATCCAAACTACTTTGTGAAAGATTATCATACCTAAATCTGAAATGTCATAGACTACAAATTGCAAGAACAGATCACTCTGGAGTCAGATGTTAATAGAATATGTAATTTAGCCTACTAAACAAAAACTATGTTTCAAGTGAGAATTAGGCAGGTCAGACTTTATTTCTGCAAAAAAAGTAGTGTGTAATTCCAGTAGTCAGCTACATGGTAAAAAAAAGTAATGATCTACTGAAAACACTACCAAGATTTGAATGTAGTTCAACTACTACTAAGCTACAGCAAAATGTAATGAAATTACTAGTTAAACCACATGTAGTTCACTACTTACCAAAACTGGCTATTTCAGTGTGACCCAGGATTGTACATGGGTGATTCATAGCTATGAGAACCCCATAGTTTAAGGGGGCTTTGGCCCTCACAATGCACCTGCTCCAACACTCACTAAATACTCCTCCCACCATTGATCTCAACTGTGGGCAATACATTTCCGCCCTTCAGAAAGGATGAGAATGTATTGTATATCAAAGCCATGACTTGTCAGTTTAGTTCAGGGGAATCATGTTTGTGAATCATTAGGACAGTCATGGAATGATCTTATCGGGACCTCACCCCTCGACCCCTATTTTGAGCACGAATTTAACGTTAATTTATAGCCATGACAGGCAGATTCTCCTTGGCTTGGGGGGTAAGACAAGAGTTTGCTGTGTTGACTTTTCCTCGGCCCACTTGGTGCCATTTGTCTGAGGCCATCCATGTATTTATGTCAATCCGCCCACATTGTTAGTGACCCTAAACTTCTACCCTACGGAGCCCAGGGTCCACCATGTGCACTACTCAGAGCTGTGAGGTCACTCTGGGAAGACATCTCAACCAGAAACCAGGCATCTGCGAGAGATTTATTAATTACCAGACCATCTGAAAGAATGTTCCCATTTCAAATCTATTTAGATGAGAATCTGTTGGAC